AGAAACGACAGTAGTAATTTTGTCGAAATATAACTACAGTGCTTCTTATCATCCAATTTTATATAAAGTTCCTGAACTTAGAGAACTTTCTTTAATAGTCCTAATTAGAAAAAATTCTCTATATTCTAAATATGTTGTTATTATATGTAGTTTTCTGATAAATCTGAAACCACAGGAATCAACCGCGAATGTAAAAATGTAAAAATGCAATGTTGCTGTTATGTTCCAAGAAAAGAATTGCTTCTCCATGCTCGTAACTTGCCATGCCTATTCCCATGAATAGTGAACCTGTATGCACTCGTACACTGGTACACTCTTAGTTTATGACGCTGGTGTTTCCCAGACGCTCAAATTGAATTCAACAAGTTTGCGTGAGTGGAAAATATAATGAAGTGTAATGAAAATATACCACAAACCAACAACAACAACAACTCAAACAACAAAGGCAACAACATAGCACAACAAATAACAAACCAACCAAATTAAATATAAACAAACAAAAGTGAAGCAAGCAGTGTATATTAGGAATTTCAGAAAAAATTAAATTAAAAAATTTCAAAAATATTTTTAAAATATTTCAACGGAAGCCGAATGTGAATTTCATTGAATGTGAAATTAATTAAAGCAAAACACCTTTAAAAAATATAGAAGAACCTGCAAATACAGCAAATTCCTCTGCGATCAAAGACTTTCGAAGACGACTACCAAAGAAGGCAGCGAAGAATTGTCAAAGTCAATAAACCTTCTAAGCATTGGCAGAAAGTGCGAATTGAATGCACTCTGGGAAGTATCTAAGCACTTCATTTCGTGCAAATGTAAGAAAAAAGATAAAACTAGATTTTATCTATCTTCATTGAGTCTGTTTTTCTTATTCTTGTTCGACTTCTGGCAGACGCTTGACCCAGATTTTGTGAATAATTATTTAGCCATTAGATAGACTTAGTTTGCGATTGGCTGTGGGTTGCACATAGTATGTTCTGTATAGACTTTAATTGAAATCCGGTTGAGTGTTTCTGGCAGGTTAAATTGCATCTCTCACGCAAGGTTCGTTTTTTTTTTTTGTATATCGATATATTTAAAACTCCAGTGCATGACTTGAAAGGTCTCATGTCACCAAAACAGGAAAGAAAGTTGCAATTGAGATTATTTTTTCAATTACAAGTAAATTATTGAAAAATAAATCAAATACTTGTCAAAATATAATAGGAAATTAGGTGAATATATGGGTACATTGTTAAAAGTAAGTCATATTTTCTTATTGTATGTTGTATTTTAAATTTTAAAAATGAGTGCCAAATAAATTTCTTCTTAAAAGACTTAAAAATAAAATTAACAATCTATCAAAGATCATATTTGTGAAATTTTAATATTATATACAATATGAGTAATTATTTAAAGAAACCATTCTTCAGAAAATCTAAGGAGTACCCGAGTACTCGTTTTTGCGAGGAGTGCAAACAATGTGTAGAAGATACAAGAACATCCATATATAACCGTGTGGAATACTCAGCTCTTATATATTACAGGAGAAAAATTTTTCGCAATGAATTGATCTATGAATCAGAGTGGTGAATCATCAAACTTAAAAAGATTAAGACTTTACATATTGACATATTGTTTCTTTATGCATCATAAGTACTTCATAAGACAAAATTGTTATCTTAGATAAGTTTTTATCTTAACATAAATTAAATTTATTTTACTGAAGTTATCTTAAAACACTCCCCCGCAGTATATTTTTGGGTAAGGGTCTACATATATACTGTAGGTTATTACATTATTAGTGAAAATAAAAACCTCATTATTATTTTGTTTTAGGAACTGACCTAGAGACCTAGAGATCAATTATATCCCTTCATTAACTTAAAGTATTTTTCAAAATCCAATTTCCTTTAGAAATTATAGTATTAAACCTACATTATAGAGTTTTATTTCTTCGTCCGTTATGAGTTGCTTAACTAGTTACTTCTTACATTTATACATCAGTGCCTGATAAACTCCTAGCATGTGTATTGAGTTCTCATTCTCATCCCTATAAAACCTATAAATTTCATTAGAGTAAATTTCCAGTTTTTTAAAATGATAATTCAATCTACAGTGCTTAGTCAGAACTTCCGTAATGATTCCTAAATTATTATTAGTTAGTTACATACAATCTTTCATTTGTTTAAAATTGATTACCCTTATAAATAATTTCGATTGTAATAGATAGCCCTGATAGATTATTCTAGTACAACTTCGTTTATTTCTCAACTTCTTTCTGAATTCATAAAAACAAACTATCTCTTCCCAAGCAGCAATACCGTCTGTAAGGTGATAATTTAACGTAGAATATCCTGCAGAACTTCTACAATGATTCTTAATTTATTATAACTTTAATGTATATAATCTTGGAATGGTTTAAAGTTATATGGTACATTAGGACGAATGACATCCTCAGAGACCTCAAGATTGATCCGATCAAAAAATGCATAAAGGCTAGACCCCTGAAATTATTTACGAAAACTGACAGACTTGGTTACAGGCTCTTCGGGGAGGTGTGCAGATCTGAGGTCAATTATTGTTTAGTCTGATGAAGAGGGGTTTTGAAGATACCTCGAGTTAATAAAGAGTTAAAGTGCTCAAGTCCACTGGCTCAAATAGCTTCAACATAATAATAATAATAATAAACCAGTTCAACCTAAATAGAAAGCCCTTGTAAATTATCCTAGTATAAGTTTGTTTGCTTCTCATCTTCTTCTTCTTCTTTTTAAGGCACAGACCAGTGTGTATAGTGATAGTTTAATCTGCACTATTCTTAAATTATTTTTGCTTAGTTGAATACAAACTTGAATGTCCCCATAAGCGGTTTCAGTATAGCCTTCTCCGTTTTTCCTCTTCTGTCTGAATGGGTAAAAACATATTACCTCTTTCTAAGGCACAGAACAATGTATAAGGTGATACTTTAACCTACTGAGCTCTGTATAAGAATAAGAATAAGTACCTTTTAATAATCCAAAGATTTCAGTAATTCTTACAATCCTTGAATCATAATTGTCTAATTTACCAAGAGGGTACAGTTATATTTTCATTGTGATATTAAAAATTGCTAGCTGACCTATGGTTACATTTGATTAACCATTTATTTTTATTTTATTAGTACTTTTTTTACTTTTTAGATATATTAAAATTATTAATATAACAATAAAAAGTACATAATATTTAAATAAATTATTTATATCAAAATTAAATTTGATATTATTTATATATTCTCATTGATCTTTTCTTACCTCTTTGGGGTCCCTCTCAGTAATTAATCCGTTTTGGTGTTTGATTACATTGGGTTTTCTTAAAATTTTTAAAAACATTTAAAATAGCCTTTTTGACTAAAATTTTACGTCATATAATATTTTTTTTTTTTTGTAATTAACCACTTTTTAGAACAATTCTCAAGACAAGTTCTTCACATTCTTCGGAAGACAATGAAGTTGCCGTCACGGTTAGAAAAACACAACACAAAAAAAAAAAATAAAAAAAATTCATTCAGTGACACTTTAGTTTTTTTTTTTTTATATTTTTTCAAATTCATTTTTAATTCAAATTCATTAACACAATATTTTTTTTATTTATTCTATTTACATATTCTCTATTTTATTTAAATGGAGTAAAGAATAAACTAATAATGCAGAATGACAAACAAAAAGAAAACCGTTAATCGTTTAATAACAACACAATTCAAAGCCTAACACAATTTTAATTCACTTAAAGCAACAACAACAATAAAAATTCTATTAAAATTTCTTTCATTTATTTATTAATTTTTTTTTTTTGTGTGCACTAAACATGAATGCATAAACAGTTTTTTTTTTTAAATGAACTTAAACAATTGTAATTGAAACAATTTTTATTATTAATTTACAAATAAAAGTATTAATTTTTTTTAAATATTTTTCGGTTATTCATTCACTAAAACGGTTTTTAAATTTTTTTATTATTGTTTTTATTTTATTTCTAAACCGAAAACAAGTTGCGCTCCAAGCATTTTAACCACTCGCGCAAGCGCTTGTTTACAAACTGCAGCGGGTGATTTATCAGTTTGTTTATTCTGATTGCATTCTTATTGGAGCACTGCGTTTACTCTCACTTTTAATAAGAATTTGACTCTCACGACATTTGTACTGTGAACAGACACTGTCTACAGCACTGCCAATAGTAAGTTTTCAAATGATATTTTCTTCTTTTTAGCTGTTTTAAGCGAAATCTTAAATAATAATATGTTAGAAAAAATATAAGAGATGGCGCTGTGTGTTAGTTTAAAAACTAAAATTTATTATTATAAAAAATGAGGACATCTACTTTTATATGAAAAATAAATAAATTTTAAATATAAATATAAAAAAAGTATAAATATAAATTAATAAATAAATTAAAAAAAATGCTAAATTAATAAAACAAATACAAAATTTTTTGAATTTGTTTATCGACCTATTTTTTTGTAATGGTTTTATATATTTTTTAATTCGGCTATAGGTCCTTTTTTTGTGTTGATCTGCAATTATATATACTCGATTAATTGCATTATATAAAATATCATATTCTTAAAGAAGTGTTTTTTTTTGTTTGTATTTTTCCATTAAAGTTATTTAAAGTCATATCAATATAAAAATTTTGCTGTAAAATTCAAGTAATGCTGTTACTGTTATAGTTGTTGGACTTCTTAATACACAGTAACTACCTTTTAGTAATCCCTAAGATGTAGAAAGGTTAAGGTAGAATCTCAGAGTCCTAATCAGCGTCAACACAGGACACAACACAGGTGGGCACTATAGGTATGATACAAATGCAATTTGCAAATATGTACATAATCCGATCGTAAGGAAAATAGGCTATACGGGTTTTGTCGTAATTTCTACAATCATATATAATCGATTAAAATTTTTTGTGAAACATTACTAAAACAGTACATTTTATTACAGAAAATTGTTTTATATATAATAAAATATTATTTAAACAATATGGAAATAACACACAACAAAACAATAAAGGATTTTCCACTATAATTGGAAGTTTAACAGTTCCATCATTTCGCATGCTGATATCACAATCTAACAATTATTAAATAAATAATATTTTTGAAGTGAATATAAACATGATATATGTTATTTTGTTACTGACGACCAGTCTTATTCATCCAAAAAGCAAGTTCGCATTAAAACATTTAATACCGAATACGGATCACAATTCGCAGCTGGTCTTCTATCTTCAAAATAACCCTTACCATTTTGTTCCACACTTCGAGGTATGCGCACACTAACACCACGATTTGCAACACCCCAACTGAATTTCTCAATATTTGATGTTTCCAATCGTTCTAATAGACGTCTTTTATTATCTTCTCCTCCTTTTGGATCATAAGCTTCTATATGCCTTTTTTGTTTTTTACTCAGTTTTTTAACTGCCTTTACAATTTCTTCCATACCACCCTCTTCACGCATTGCCTTTGTTGACACATTAGTATGTGCACCGGCACCATTCCAAGGCCCCAATACTGGCTTCGGATCAAAAGTAATAACAACACCATATATCTCAGCTATGCGGTGCAGTAAATAGCGTGATACCCACAAATCATCAGCCGCTTTTATGCCTTCTGTTGGTCCAATCTGAAATTCCCATTGTGCTGGTTTTACCTCACCATTTGTGCCAAAAAAATCAATGCCAACATATAGGCAGGCACTTATATGTGCTTCTACTATATCACGTCCAAACGCACGGTCTGCACCAACTGAACAGTAGTAAGGCCCTTGAGGTGCAGGAAAACCATGTTGAGGCCAACCAAATGGGTGACCTGTTACATCTAACATACTATATTCTTGTTCAATACCAAACCACGGTTCTTGATCTGCACACTCATCATAGGCACATTGACATGCTGCGCGTTTATTTGATTGCGTGGGTTCGCCATTAGCTGAATAAGTATCACACATAACGATTATGTCTTTTTTTGTTTTAAACGGATCTGGATATATGGCGCGTGGTATTAATGTTGTATCCGAATCCTCACCTGCTGCTTGATATGTAGAACTACCATCATATTGCCAACTTGGTAATTCGGAAGGACACTTTACTGGTTTCTTGAGTACTCGATCTTTCAGGCGTAAATTTTCACCAGTACCATCAATCCAAAGATAAGTGGCTTGATATGCATCTCCTTTTCTTGGTAAATTTTTAAATCGATTCCTGATCGATTTGTCGAGCACGACATTCGGAGAATGTTTAAGGAAGGAAGCATTCCGTACTAAGAAGTAGGACTGATTTGATTGGCTAATCTTTAAAAAATGTTTTACAATACAACTAGCAAAGCCATTTAATGTAGATCTCAATCCTATATTTTGCATTCTCTGTATTGTTTCGATGTGTTAAGTAGAAGCAAAACAGAATTTATTTAGAAATTCCGCATTTAGTCTTAGTTTTACATAATTTTGTGCCAAAAAATCATATTAGAGGTTTAAATTTTGTGCCAAAAAATGTTTTAAAATGTTTAAAACTGAAAATCCAAAACTTTATTATATAGTTAAATGTCGAAATAGTATTAAAACATTGGATTACTATGTTAATCAAAATGTTATTCTTTTTTCATGATAATCAGAGACTGATGAAGTCTAGAATAGGGTTTGCATATATCTATAAACGTCAAGTGTTATTTTTCTTCTTCTTTGGAAAATGTTTCTATATGAAATTTAAAATTAGGATGCATGAGAAATTAAAGCAGTAATAATGGCGGTAAGGCTAAGAGCAATCGATTCTACGTCCGACGACCACTTGTGATCATCAGAGATTAACTACGGCTTGTATTTCATGTAACACAGCAACGTAATGAGGGACTGCGCGGAGCTTCTTTGAAACTAATCTTGGTTGAGGTGAAAAAATCTCGTCATTTCAAACGATTGGAGTCAAACATCCATAGGGCTCAAATAAATGTATGCATTAGATTATAAGAACAGATGCCCAACACTTTGTAAAGTATAGTTGTATTTAGAAAATACGTTTGAAGTTGACACTTCTATGTGTGACAATTACCTGCTTAGGATCTAGTTATGCCCTGATCTTAGAGTAGGGCAGCTAATGCTGCATGTGAAATACATGTTTCTTCTTTAGTACAATGAATTGGGGGCTTGTTTATAGGTGTGTAACATGATCTGGAAAAGCGACCGGGTCAACGTTCTGGAACCACTCGCCGACCTCCACAACTAAGTGCCGTTTAGCACTCCCAAACGGACTACACAAACAGATCGCGGCAGGTTACAAAAACAACTACGATATCGGTATGGTCGATATTGGTACATGGGCTTACTGATATTAACTCCATTGCAATATATATCAATGTATTTATGATTAGAAAACTGACAACGATAGATACAAAGTGAAAAGAGGGCTTAGCTCACAAATTGATCAATTTTAAAATTGTTTATTAGTAATATACAATTTTTAAATAACATCATATGGTCACACTTCGACTTATCGAAACTGCTTAACATATTTTTGTATGGATTTTATACGGCTTTTTTACGAAGCTTGGTATTTGTGTCGAGTTTTAGTAAATTTGTCTAAGCAACGGATTAGTTTAAAAAAACTAGATTTGTACAATTTTTGCAGCATTTTCTTAATGTAAATTTTTAATATATATATTTTAAGTATATAAAAAATCCATTAAAACATCAAAATAAATTTTTTTTTGTTTATTATATTGCAATATACAATAACTAGATCAATCTTTTTAATATTACATTTATATTTATTTATTTCTTATTAATATATATAAATTTTGCTTATAATTTAAAGTGGCATTTCTCAACAAAACAACAAAAATAATATATATATACGTATGTATATGTATATATATAAATATATAGAAATAATTACAAAGCTTATAATAAAAAATAATATAGTAATCAATTTAATAATTATAAATTATTTTTAACAATTTAGATACAGTTTCATACAATAATATTTATAAAAAAAAAAAAACAATTCCGCAGTAAGTATATTTTAGTAAAATTTTTACACAATTGGCTAATGTTTTGTGTATATTTATTTTGCATATTTAATATACAAAATATATATATATATATATAGATAGTTATATGCATAAACTAAATAAGTGGTGTGTAAACTTTTAAAAAAGTGATATTTGTTTAGTATATTAAACTAAACAATAAATTATTCCATAATTAAGTGATTTATTAATATATAATTTATATTCACATACATTAGAAATATTTTTTTTATTTTTTTATATTACTTAATAATAACTAGGTTATTTACAATTTCAATATTTTTATTAATTGTTAATATATAACAATATAGAAATTTATTATACACAAATATTTTTATAATAGATTTCATTAATGAAATTTTTTGGGGTTTAAAGGATATAAATAATTTTACATTAAGACCACCAATTTTTTTTTATTTTATAAATATTAAGAATATATAAAAATATCAATATTTATATAGGTTAAACAGATCATTTTAAGCAACAAAAACTTTATAAAATGGAATGTTTTGTCAGAAAAAAAAAATAAGTAGATATATATGAAATAATTAAAAAACTAAAAATAAATAAAAAGAATATATTGAATATGTATTTGAATTTATCTATGGAAGTAAATATGAATTTTTAAAGAATTATAAATTTTTTGGCGCAGTTTTTATTTAAATAATTTACAGAAGGCAGTAAATTATTTCTAGATATTGAACATTTTTATTAGTAATAAACTTTTTCTTGAGTACTTCCAATAAATAAAATTTCAAAAATTAATTTATAATAAATTTTATAGTACTATGAATGGTAGGTTATAGTGTTTATGTAAAATATATTAAAATATACATATTAATTTTACATTATTTCAAAAGGTAATATAGTTTATATATGTTCATATGTTTTGTTAGGTGGTTTCAGTTGAATGTATTAATAATGCAATGGTTCATAAGAAAGATCCTGCCATAGACAGTATATATTTTGGACAGTTATATAATAATTGTAATATTCTTTTACAGTAGTTGGTATTTATAAAAGTTTAGGAAAAATAATATATAAAGATGGAATGTTTTCGATAGATATATATATCTGTCTATACAAGTAACAAAATGATTGTTTAACTTAAATCGGCACAACCATATATAAAAATAATGCTACATATTTAAAATAGACAATAAATAAGTATTATATGTAACTGAAGCATTATAAGCATTTAGTTAACATCGATAATACAAATATATGTATACAGATTATTTATTATTTTTACTTGACAGAATTTTTTTTGTGTTTGCATATTTATTTCACAATTATTACAGTTCCTATAATTGATAAATAGGTATCGAAATCTTCTATGATTGAAATCTTTTAATCTTTTAATTATTACAGTACTCATAATTGACAAGTTAATTAAATGAAATAAAAATAAAAAAATTGGTGTTGATTAAATGATTTAGTTTTTTATATTTTAATTTATATATTGACAATTAAAAAAGATAGTACTTAGAAATACTCAAATATTGTAAATAATAAATATTTCCCTACTGCATTTTAATCCCAACAGATAGAAATAACATTCAAAAGTAGATATTTGAAACAACTAAAAATAAAGAACCAGTTATGGACATAGCTAGGATTTCATAGCTAGAACCCATTTTATATTTGTGTTTAATATATTATTTTTTATAAAAACCGGGTACATGGGAGAATAGATGTTCGGAGTTTCTAGCTACTCCATTGGAACTAGTAAAAAACAATAAATATTTGCAGAAAATATTATGTACAAAAAATATTAAATTAGAAAATAAATAAAATCAAATATTTAATGAATTGTATTTCAAAAGTAATCTGGTGGTTTTTAATACAAAAACAAACAAAAAATAAGCACAAATCTATATCAAGCGATATATCTAAATTAATTTTTACATTCTCAGTTCTTTTATTTTTTTATAATTTTTTAATATTTTATAGAGCAAAAGTTTGCTTGTGCTTTTTTCCTAAACTAATTTCATATGTGCTGAATATTTTATTATGCATGTTTACACATATTACAAACATTATATTATTTATATAATTTTTACATAAATTTAGTTACTTTTAATAATTTGAATTATTTCATCAACTACAATCACATACAATTAATGTTTATTTTTACTCTTATCCTACATTTGAATACAAACATCAAATGCACTTTTTTGCTAATTAGCAACTTTTGTAATTATTAATTAAATTAAGATTCGTTTTAATATAAATATTTACATTAACATAATTTCAAATATAAAAATTTATATTAAAACATTAATTAATTTAATTAACAAAAAGGAATGTTACTAAATAAAGAACGAATTTAAAACATCTTGCGCAGTTCGTTATTCAAAACTGCAATTTTCTCTTTCAAACTTAAGGAATTTCAATATATAATTAATGGTATGGTTTTAAGTGTTCCACATAATTCTCTGGTATAAGTCCTGTTTTTCCATTTAAAGTCCCTTGCAGCCAACCAGGCTCATGCGAAAACCGTACTAAAATAAAAATGAAAGTTGATTAATTTATTTGCAAGTAAGAGAGAATATGATTAAGTTGTATCTTATTTTCAGAGTGAGTTAACGCAATAATGAGCTAATAAAACTTAATAAGAGATGGAGTATGTTATTTTTGGTTTAGGTGGTGACTGTTCTTTAGTGTAAACTAAAGCTTTTACGACGGTATATTGTCCTATCCTCGTTAGTCTATTCGGTTTAGAAATCTCTAAAGTTCGTTAATATCAACTTTTGCTAGCTCGCCAAGATTATTAAATCTTATTAAAGATTTATCTAAGGTAGCTATACTCTACTTTAAAAGAGCAGGTTATCAGGAGAGATTAGTATGACAACTCAGGTGGAAGAACAATAATATAGCAACAGATCAGTGTAAGGGAAGGTAAAGAGGAAAAGGATAGGTGGATATGTTTAACCATACAGAGGAAATAGTATTTATTTTTTCTATGAAAAGTACAGATTATTATTTTTCTTTCATTAACTAAAAAATATTGTTTAAATCGCGGTGTCGATTAAACTTATTTACAGCCTCGCACTTTTATTGGAATTAAATCATGGTTTTTTATAAAACATTTCTTATACTGGAGACAAAATAATTTAATTTATGTAAATATGCTTTAGTATTCTATAATTTTGCTCGCTCATATATTTATTTTATAAAATTTATTTAATTACCGTGTGTGATAATTTGATTTGGTTCAAATGATAGTTCACCTTCACTTTCACCCATACAAGCATACAATGTACGCACACATCTGCAATACACAACATACAATAAAAAATATTATTATAACAATATCATTTTAGTAAATAACTAAGAGCTTACGCAGTTCCCGCAGATAAATCACGTTTGATCTGATTAACATCTTTGTTTCGATGCATTTTTTGCGGTGCATAATCACTTGGTTCATTTGGTGAAGTTCCAGTGCTAATCAGTGAAGGAGCAGCTGTAGCTGTAACTACGTCATCACAAGTCGAACCAAGTAAAGTAGTTAATGGTGAAGTTTGTGCTGACATTGAGGCATAATCTATTGAATTTCGTGGTCCAATCAAACGATTTGATGAATTTGTAATTGCTGAATTGCCAACACTAGCACTACTACCACCATTATTAGATGACAGCGAATCACAAACGCTCTCATTTGAACTGGATGTTGATGCAGCTACACCAGGTGAGTAGTGTTTTGGCTGCGCACATGCATTCAGTCCACGTGGTTGCACATTACTTTTAAGTACTGAAGATGTACCATAAATTGCCTCGGTGCGCATAGCTAGTGTAGGCGGTGAGACATTGTTGACATTATGCCGGCCACTGCTATTGATACTATTTAGACTATTAGTCGTCATATTGGAATAAATGTGATTTCCACCCGAACTATTGGCAGGTGTAGCAGTCGCCATTAGAAAGTCATGTCTTAAGTTTGTTGCATTTGCAGGAGTAGCATGATGCGCTGTCAGCCCGGAACCATTAGTACCAGCACCAATTACATTTTGTGTAACCATTGAGTAAATGCTTTCAGAACCACCAGCAGGGCGACGTGAATTCATGTCCGACTGTGACATTAAATGCAAATTTTTAACACTGCCCATATTACCACTCAGACCAAGTGCATTTCCTTTTGAAGATATACTACCACCGCCATTAGAGCTGTGTCCACCATTAAGACCATTCGATGCACTGTTATTACTGTTTACGCCATGTGCGTACATTATACCATTAGGAATATTTTGCAAACTTGTCGACATTTGTGAGTCGGCGAAATTTGATTTACTCATTGATCTATAAACTTGCTGTTGTGGTGAATACATTGATGTTCGTCCACCAGTACTCACACTACCGTTACCAGGCCCCGCAGCATTATTGCTACTTTGATTTGCACGTTGCGAACGTATGGGTGGACTTGTTTTTGCTGCAATTTTAACAACTGCAGTACTAGGATCCATTTTGAAAATGCGTTCATAGTTTTCTATTAAAATATTGATGACAATATTATTGAATTTTATATCTAAAATGGCTGCCACCGTTTCTTCCAGTGGACGTAATAGTGTTGGGCCGAATACTACACCCAAATTAAAAACTGACATTTTGTTCTTTTCATATTTGCGCGATACTCTGTAAGAAAACATTTTCATTAGTTTTTATTGTATAATTAATAGAAGAAAGTTACTTACTCAGTTAAATGACATATAACCAAATCTAACATTTTAAAATTTGAGTCAGGCAGTTTATAGACAAGTTTATGTACCTCATAAACCCGCTGACTAAGACTTTCTTTTTCTGCAAATTTTTAAAAAAAAAATAAGTACAGTTAGTACGTATTGTTAAAAAAAAGTATGTAAACTTAATTCAAATACTTACTGGCTGCCTCAATAAAATCACTATGATAGCGATAAGTCATGAGTGGTTCGGTTAAATTGCGTAAATATGTTTTTAAAGCACTAGCTATTGTATTGCTCTCCATGAGATCTCTATATTGTTCATCACTAAATATTGACTCGGTCTTTTTACGATCCATTCCTAATGCTAACAACTTTGATATCTTAGTACCAACACCACTCTTACGATATATGCCCTCATCTTCAAGGCCACGACTTTCAAGAACATCTATACATTTTCGTACAAAAGCGAAGCCCGTTTCATCTAATTGATATTCCTCTCCTGCTTTCACTTTACCTGGCGCCAGATATGTCTGTAAGATATTATGATGTAGAATTAAAATATTATCACATATAATTATTTTTATTGTATAAACCTACCGGCTCTGTTCCATCCATTGCATTTAACCACGCTTTGCGATCTTCTTCGCTTAAAGCTTGAAATGTATAGACTTGACCAGGTCTCTCTTTGAATGTTAAATCAAAACAGAAACGTTTCTCAAACTCAGTGGCACGTCGTTGGCATGAAACCAAAGTCAGTTTTTCCTCTTCACGTAATTCAGGTTTCGATGAACTGTGATTCATTTGATTGAATTGCAGCATTGTGAAATCCTTCTTTTGTTTTTTGTAAGTACAATAGTATTTCGTCCATGTTGCTTTAAATGGCTCTGGAAGAGAAATTTTCAATAGGGAACCTATTTAAGGAGTTAATAAATGAGACCACATCCAGATACAGGGGGAAAAATATAAAAATTAAAAAAATAATATATTAATTTAAATATATTGACCATATACAAATTAGTTATAATAAGTAAATAATAAAAGCACAAACAATAATACTTTTAGCATTAAAATAACTACATTGGAGAAAATATAATATGCAGGGTAGAGAATTAATAAACAATTGCAGTTTTAAATTCCAAGAAAAAATTTTTAAGATAGTTTTCATTAAGATTATTTAAAAAAAAATTATTATTTACTAAATTTTTTATTTTTGAAAAGGTTGTATAACAGCTAATCAAACTGCCAAAAACTAATAACAAGTGTTTTAGTGATATAGAATCGATCATTAATGAGACCTTCATAAGGATCTATATATATATATTGTTATAATACATATAAAGACATATTTCAAATCAGTCAAGGGCGGGAACAAATGCTGAAACTGAAAACAAAAGAGTATTCGTCACCAGCTTCATCTTCAGCAACAAAAAGTCATATCAAGAACTTTTAAAATTTATATTGAGTAGAATCGCCGAATTAATCTTACTCTGTCATAACCAAAGTGACTTCCGATTAGCACCATCGATTCATTTATCACTTAAAACCTATAACTGAACAAATTTAAGAGTTTAATTCGAATATATTTTGGTTTCAAAAACGACTGGGTCTACGTCTCACAGCTAATTGTCATTTTGAGGACCAAACGCCAATTACCCGTACCAAATGGGACTTTACCAGCAAATCTTCATGGGTTACCAATAAAACAACATATATGTTTCTTTTTCCATTTGACACTCTTCGTTTTTATGAAGAATTTATTTTATTAGTTTGTCTGAAAAATAATTTTGTCTTTTCGGAAAAATAATTTTCTTAAAATAAAAAAATAATTGGATTGAATAATATCTACTTTGGTTCACTACTTTTTGTCATCTTTTTGCCAATAAAATAATTTTTACTTATTTTAGGTTTTTACAGATGAAAAGAAAACTGATTCAGATAATTTTTACCTTCCTCATTTAAAGCAATGGTTTCAAAGTTGGTCTGAAAATGCTTTCAACTTCTCAACACTTTAGCATCGAGGAACTGTGTTACTCTTATTTGGGTACCGGGACATAAAAGGCATGAGGGCAATGAAATAGCAGACTCTCTAGCAAAGAAGGGTGCATTTACTCCTTTCATTGGTCTGCGAGGTAACAAATAGCTTCACAAATAACTTATAATGTGAACGGGAAAAACAAAATCTACTTGAACACTGGAGAGCCGAAACAGGCATCCGGCAGTCAAGAAATTTCACTGATCCTGAACACATCAAAGTTGACGCTATCCTTAACCTTAGCAGAAACGATATTAAAATCTACACTGAACTCCTTACAAGACACTGTAGACTTAATTACCGCATGAAAATTATAGATATGAACACATCAAAGTTGACGCTATCCTTAACCTTAGCAGAAACGATATTAAAATCTACACTGAACTTCTTACAAGACACTGTAGCCTTAATTACCACATCAAAATTATAGGTGCGGTAGAAAGTGATTGCTGTCGACTCTGTCATGAGGAGAAGGAAACGTCAACACATATTCTATGCAACTGCCTAGCGGCGGCAAGACGTAGACTTGACTAGAAGCGGGATCTTAGTCCCAAATCAATCTTGGGACTAATCAGGTCTTAGTCAAACAGTTAAAATCAAGCCCACAGCAATTACAAGATTTATAGTCTAGGATTCTTTTAGTTGGGCCTTTAGGCGTATAACCTATTATTTAATAATAGTAATAATATAAAGCAAGGGTTTTAGTTTTGCCGTCTAAAACATTTGTAGATAGCGGAATAAGTAATCTTAAGATAGATTTGAAATACCGGAATCAGAAGGTGTCTAATTTGGATTATATACTGGTTGGGTTATACTGGTTGTGGCAGTATATCCCAACTTATCTGTAAAAGCTATTATCGAATTAGTAAAAGAAATGTTTAAACGAATTTTTAACGATCGGCGTTATTATCTTGAACTCTTTTAAAGAAAAAAACAAATAAACTCGAACTGCAATATTTCTCAAAAAGCAAATAAAGCTAAAAGCGAAGGGAATTTTACGCAACTAATTTGAATTATTCTATTCATAAATTATAAAAAAAAAATCAAATAAAACATTTACTTACTTTTTTCCATTAAAAACAGATAACCACGTTTGGTGTAATTTTCTTCTGGCTTCTGAAACAAAGGGTTAATCTTTTTATTTTCTAGAAGACACAAAACATAAAACTTTTTCTTTGGAACAATACATACCGTATGCTTTTCCATATACTTTGTTTTTAATTCATTCACTTTTTCTCTGGCTTCGTTGAAATTTTCACGTGTCTAAAAGTTTTAATATTTAATTAAAATAAAAAATTAATTAATTATCATTATGAAATGACTAACTTTTTGCACTTTATGCCGCAAATCCTGTAAATAATCGTGATTATCTTCAGCTTGCTCGTGTGCCGTGTGATAGAAGACAAGCCAACCAGATATGAAACCCAGTAAAATTTCAACAAACTCGAATTTAATGCGCTCTTGCACTTCCTGTATGCGTAGAACGTAACTTAATGACTCCTTCACATATTCACGATGATGCATGCCCAAACTCGCATCGGCCTGAAAAGGTTAAAATAATTAAAAATTAACAAAGAAAACAACAAAACCAATTTTATCAAATTTTGAAAGCAAATTTGAAATTTTGAACTTTAAAAAGTCAAATGTCACATCATTTTGCAACAGTGATGACAATAATTTGGTGATTGTCTAGAAGAAGTAGTTTTTCCAGGAAATTGAGTTTTGACAACAATATGAGCAGCACCAGCATGAGTCCATCATAACAGAAAATGAGATGAAACAAATTAATTAACGAATACTTCGTATTATTTGAAAGTTTTAATTGGACTTTTGTTTAACAAGGAAATTAATTTTGGCATGAATCTTTCTAAGAATAACAAATGGAGAAGAAATTTGATTGATAAATTTTATATTACAGATACCTTTCACCTACTGTAATATGCTAGTTTTCAAGTCCTTCATTTTTTTTTTTTTTGTCAAAATAAGCTAGAAAGGTTCGAATAGGAGAGTTGTCAAATGACATTATTATTTTCAGGACATTCAATTACAAAGTGTAATAACTACAAATACTTGATTTTTAATAGACAAGTTCTATATACTGATACTGATATGCATATATGCAGAAATTGTGAATGTAGAGATAATATTAGAGAGCATTGATATTCTTTAATATCAGATTTAAGGGTGCTCAAGGAAACAAAATTGATATTAAAACAAAAAAACTAACAGAAATACCAAGAGAGTTATAAAATTACAAACAAACAAAAAAAAAAAATAATAGTACCCACCTAAAGTGGTAGGCACAATACCAATCAGTCATGTCTATGCCATTTAATCTAAAATCGGCATTAGAAATAACTCCCACAAGCCCCTAAACTGTCTTTATTATTTGTAGTTTTGTAAGGATCACCTATAAGTCCTAGCCTCACATTATTTCACCACAAGAAATTTACTTGTTCTGAATTAAGATGCGGGTTCGAAATATTTCAACCTCCTCCTCTCAATTACCACCATTCACGTCATTGTTTCTTTATATTCTCATAAATCCGACTAAATGAATATATTAAAATAAAATAAAAATTAATTTTTGTTGTTGTAGTTCACTACTTCTCGAAACCTCTCTAACAAAATACAATAGTTTCTATTAAGTAAAATAGGGTACCACTGTCATAACTGATGTTAAAATACTAATTATTAGTTTTTTAAGCTATAATTTATTTTAAGAATGGGTAACTTATATAAAAGATATATTTTAGTTGGTAATGAATTTGAACAAAAAGTAACTCTATTTCATTAAAATCTTAGGAAAACAAATATTTTTAAAAAATTATTGAATTAAAAAATTATTGAATTAAAAATAATAAAAATAATATAAGTAATTAGTAATTATTTAAAATAATTATTAAAAATAGAAATCAATTATTAATTGATATGTTTATTATTTATTACTAGATGGCTTATTATGTATACTTTATATTGATTAAAAATAACAACTAATTATTAATTGATATATTTATTATATTACTGAAAGTCTTATTATTTATATTATACCTATATAAATTAAAAATAACAAGTAATTAATTAATCATACACGTATTATTTATTACTAAAAGTCTAATTGGAATGTTTAAAGTTTTTTCGAACAGTAGTGAACTACAACAACAAAAATTTATTTTATATTAATTTTATAAATTAAATTTTTGGCTGTTTCGAGTACTGCCAAATACCCATCATCAGTGGTCTTGGAAATAATTCTTGTGTTTAATTATTTGTAAATAATTTTTTTTAGACTGCCAGAAATCGAACTTGTGTCCTGCCAAAATTGAAGCTTAGAGTCAGCGCACTATAACAATTTAATAAATAATACACTTATTGTTTATCATTAAAAGGCTTATTTTAATTTTTTGATATTAATTATTATTATCATTATGGTTAAATTATTACTCATAAATTATTATTATTTTTAAATTATTACTATTATTAAATTATTATTATTATTTAATTATTATTATTATTAAATTATTATTATTAAATTATTATTATTATTATTATTAAATTATTATTATTATTAAATTATTATTATTAAATTATTATTATTATTATTAAATTATTATTATTATTATTAATTATCACTATTATTTAATTAGTATTATTATTAAATTATTATTATTATTAAATTATTATTATATATAAATAATAAATATATAAAAATTTATTTTATTTGAGCCTATATATTTTATAATAATGTAAATAAAAAATTTTTTTAAACTTACATATTTGAATCCACCATTTTAAGAATAATAATACTTTTAAATTGTTGTAAATTTAATAAATGTCATCATTTTGTCTTACAAAATATATTAGAAATATGGACAATACTATCGATATCTAAAATTCGTTTGACAAATACACGAAGCGATTAGTGATAACAACAACAACAATAATAACAACAACTGACGTTAAATAAGTTAAGTGGTGACTGACAGCAGAATTAGTCGAAGTATGTGTGGTAGGAATCCTTGAAATGAAAAAGGATTCTTTTTTGTCAACTGCTATGCAGCAAGTAGATAAAAAGTGAAAGTATCTTAAGTTTGAAAATTTTTTTATTTTTTAAAAACATTAACAAATAACACAGCACTAACGAACACTTTTTTGCATAAATAGAAATATTTTTCTCTGTCTTCGGATTAAGTAATTATGTTACACTTTGACACTTTAAAAATATTTTTCAACATATATACTCGTATGCATAGCTTGTTTTATTTCTTTAGATGTATTGGATAGGTATTTTATTAAATTATTATTTTTAAATATTGTACTTAATATTCATTTGAACAAATAATATTTGATTTCAATTAATTTATAATTTATTATGGATTAAAATGAATTATTAAAAGTAACTCCTTATTACGACTTCGAATGCTTGAAGCCCGAAGCCCGTGTATTTGTATCTGCTCACGGAATTTTTACTATGAATGAATAAACTTCACAAACACAGTGAAGACAACATAAACGTACATGAAATGAAATACAAAGTAAAAAAGAAGCATAAAAATCAACAACAAAAATAAGTGTTTTGAAGAGAATCGAAAAAAGGTGAAAAGTATTTACTGAGAGTTCAAAGCTTTTAGTCGTAGTAGGTTGACTTTTTAAGGGTCGAAAATGTCATAGTCACAACAAATGAAAAGCTCTACATATACACTTATAAGCATTTATGACAATTACACTACACTACACTACATTGTCCATCTTTAACTATAGAATAACATTCATAATAAATCTAAAGAATAATAATGGAATACTGAAACTAAAGTAAAGTAAAAATAAGTTAGACATCCATGAACAAGTCATTGCTAAGCAAAATAATCTCAAATCAAAAGTCGTTTCGAGAGTACTGAAAATATGGATATACAAGGCTATTATCTACCTATTATTATCTGGTTAGATGGAAAGTCAAAATCTTAAAGTAGAATGAATGCGATCGCTTATACGTGGCCAAAATGAAAGCTTATTAGAAGAATAACTGCTTACGTAAAAGTGGTAGCAGGACATTATTGAATAAGAACAAAAAATGAGATAGGGAATTTGTTAAGAGATATGAAATACAAATCCTATAGTCTCCAGAGATTAGTTCTGAAGAATCTGTCGTCAGGATGGGTTAACCATGTAACATGCAAAGCAACCAAACTATTAAAACGTAAATTGTGCTTGTAAATACTCAATCGAATTAGAAAGTTGAGGAATCTATGGAATATTTGTAACAAGTCATATGGACTGGAAGAGTGTTATAATAGAAACCAAAGCTGTACTTTGCCTAAAGCATCAATGAAGAAGCAAAAGAGATACTTAAGTATTATAATAATTTGTTTACGAATTTTTACTGGGATTACTAATTATTAGATAAAATAAAGTTTCTCACTTTGAATTTCATATTTTTTTTCTATAAACGCAATTGGTAAGATATTAAATATATGCAAACATTATCGATATAATACGGTCTGGAGCGTATAAGTTCTGTAATAAACATTCGTATTAATGGAGAGAATAAAAGGAAGTCCTCAAATTCAATTCTGTCTATTATTTTCCATTTAGAAATATGATTTTAGTATTTAGTATTAGTATTAAATACGTAGAAATACGTATTTAGTTAAGCATCTGATAATAGCAATAATATAATATCACTATCTAATAATAGTTATATTTTGAATAATAATCTTGTCTTATAACATATTTTCAATGACATAATTAAATTAAATTATTTAACTTTACTTATGCAATATTTTGCGTATCATTTACGATCATTTATACATATATATTTATATATAGTTTGTGTAGTCTCTAAACAAATAATTAAAAAATTATGTATCAAATAAGTAATATTAAATAATAATAAACAATATTGTAATATATACAATAGATATACATTGCACAATAAACTAATATTACAATTTCAAATTGTAGTTCTAAAATTTATAAATCATAACATGTACAAAACAATTGTACCAGTAAAAGCTTTAAAAATAGAGCAAAGTTTCCGAAAGTTCGAAAGTAAGCAAAGTCATTAATTATACTTTAAAAATATTAATTTAAGTCAACCCGTTTAAAATAAATTAAATGCTTTATACTGTGTTTAATATTAAATATTATTTGGTTTTTATTTATTAGAAAACTAATAATAATGACCAGTAATTTAAATAGACCTACTACACAAAACCAAAAAAGCTATAGTCCTTATAACTTGTTAGTCCAGAGAGAGAGAGAGAGCTTTTACTCTATAAACTTCAGTTTCTGCTTTTCATGTCATTTTTGCAATTTTTATATACTTGCAACATATTTTCCAGCTGGTTCTTTGTTGTTTTCTATTTATATATATATATATTACCACAATTTGAACTTTACACTTCGTATTAGAAACAATAACAAAAGGACAATCATGATATTTATTGTCATGGGTTAAGTATTGCCACATTAAGTTTTCGAAGGATAATAGCATCATAAGAGTTAACATGGTGCTTCACTAAGAAAATAGAATGATGTCTTAA